TTTTTGGTAGAGAACCATGGATTCAACCCAGGCTGTGATGTGTATCGAGTAGAAGAGACTGGAAGATCCCCGTCGAGACAAGGCGGAGAGAGCGTGGAAGTTGCTGGATCGCCGTAGAAACGCCCACGCCGAAATTTTGTGTCCCTCAGCCAAACATTAAGTTCTCCGCCCCGTCGCTTGCGGTAGCTTTTTCTTCTTCTTCATTCATTCCCACACTTTTTCTCCTCGCTTCTTCTCATCTCCATCCATCCTATACTAAGACTGCTTTACCTTCTGGAGCAGATTCTTTCTATCTTTGTTTTTCCTGAATCTCAACTCTCCCACCGTCCCTTTTCTTTTCATTCTCTCTCTTGTTCTTAACGATCTTACGTTGTTTTTGTACCTTGTGAGTCTTGTTCCCACCCCCACCCGAGTGAGGAGAGCAAGCTGCCAAAGCTGAGAATCATTCTGGGCTCTTCGGTCTTCTCCCCCCGAGATTCACATAAACCTCCCTGAATAAGTGGAGGGCCTGTATCCTACTTTTCTCAATATATCGATGACTAACAGAACATTCGGCGTCGAACAGAATAAAATCACATCCCTTCATCATCATGTCCGAGACTTTCGAGTTCCAGGCTGAGATCTCTCAGCTCCTCTCTCTTATCATCAACACTGTTTACTCCAACAAGGAGATTTTCCTGCGTGAACTTATCTCCAACGCCTCCGATGCCCTTGACAAGATCCGCTATGAGTCTTTGTCGGACCCCTCCAAGCTCGACTCGGGCAAGGACCTCCGTATTGACATCATCCCCAACAAGGAGGCTAAGACCTTGACTATCCGTGATACCGGTATCGGTATGACCAAGGCCGTAAGTCAATTCCGTCTATTATATGCCTCTACGGACCCCACTCTAACCATATCGCTTTTGTCTAGGACCTGATCAACAACCTCGGTACCATCGCTCGCTCTGGTACCAAGCAGTTCATGGAGGCCCTCTCTGCTGGTGCTGACATCTCCATGATTGGCCAGTTCGGTGTTGGTTTCTACTCTGCTTATCTTGTTGCTGACCGCGTCACTGTCATCTCCAAGCACAACGACGATGAGCAGTACGTCTGGGAGTCCGCTGCCGGCGGCACCTTCACCCTCACCCAGGACACCGAGGGCGAGCCCCTTGGTCGTGGTACCAAGATGATCCTTCACTTGAAGGATGAGCAGACTGACTACCTCAACGAGAGCCGCATCAAGGAGGTTGTTCGCAAGCACTCCGAGTTCATCTCTTACCCTATCTACCTCCACGTTCTGAAGGAAACCGAGAAGGAGGTTCCTGACGAGGAGGAGGAGACCAAGGAAGAGGAGGGCGATGAGAAGAAGCCCAAGATTGAGGAGGTTGATGAAGAAGAGGAGAAGAAGGAGAAGAAGACCAAGACCGTCAAGGAGAGCAAGATTGAGGAGGAGGAGCTGAACAAGACCAAACCCATCTGGACCCGTAACCCTGCTGATATCACCCAGGAGGAGTACGCTGCCTTCTACAAGTCCCTCTCCAATGACTGGGAGGACCACCTTGCTGTCAAGCACTTCTCCGTTGAGGGCCAGCTTGAGTTCCGTGCCATCCTCTATATTCCCAAGCGTGCTCCCTTTGACCTCTTCGAGACCAAGAAGACCAAGAACAACATCAAGCTCTATGTTCGCCGTGTCTTCATCACCGACGATGCCACCGATCTTATCCCTGAGTGGCTCAGCTTCATCAAGGGTGTTGTTGATTCTGAGGACCTTCCTCTCAACCTGTCCCGTGAGACCCTGCAGCAGAACAAGATCATGAAGGTCATCAAGAAGAACATTGTCAAGAAGACCCTTGAGCTCTTCACTGAAATTGCCGAAGATCGTGAGCAGTTTGACAAGTTCTACTCCGCCTTCAGCAAGAACATTAAGCTTGGTGTCCACGAGGATGCTCAGAACCGCCAGACCCTCGCTAAGCTGCTCCGTTACCAGTCTACGAAGTCCGGTGATGAGGTCACTTCCCTCTCCGACTATGTCACTCGCATGCCTGAGCACCAGAAGCAGATTTACTACATCACTGGCGAGTCTATCAAGGCTGTCGCCAAGTCTCCTTTCCTTGACAGCCTCAAGCAGAAGAACTTTGAGGTTCTCTTCCTGGTTGACCCCATTGACGAGTACGCTTTCACTCAGCTTAAGGAGTTTGATGGCAAGAAGCTCGTCGACATCACCAAGGACTTCGAGCTCGAGGAGTCCGAGGAGGAGAAGGCTGAGCGCGAGAAGGAGGAGAAGGAGTTCGAGGGTCTCGCCAAGAGCCTCAAGAACATCCTCGGCGACAAGGTTGAGAAGGTTGTTGTCTCTCACAAGCTTGTTGGCTCTCCTTGCGCCATTCGTACTGGCCAGTTCGGTTGGTCTGCCAACATGGAGCGTATCATGAAGGCCCAGGCCCTCCGTGACACCTCCATGAGCTCCTACATGTCTTCTAAGAAGACCTTCGAGATCTCTCCCAAGTCTGCTATCATCAAGGAGCTCAAGAAGAAGGTCGAGGCTGATGGTGAGAGCGACCGTACCGTCAAGTCCATTACTCAGCTTCTGTTCGAGACCTCTCTCCTGGTTTCCGGCTTCACCATCGACGAGCCTGCCAGCTTTGCCGAGCGCATCCACAAGCTTGTCTCTCTCGGTCTGAACGTCGACGAGGAGGCCGAGACCTCTGAGGAGAAGGCCGCCGAAGAGGCCCCTGCCGCTGCCACCGGCGAGAGCTCCATGGAGGAGGTTGACTAAATGTTTCGGCAGCAACAGAAACGAGATTTTAACTGCTTTTACGACCTATTATTGAAAACTGTTCCAGCGGTATCTGCATCAGGATTATCTTACATCACTGACTCGTATTGCTGTTTCATCTGGGACTTGAGAAAGGCGGTTTCTAGTTGCGATGTGAATTTTACTCTTTCGGCGTTTTGAGCGTTTGCTTTCCAAATCATACTACTTTAAATTATTCCGTCTGATCCATGACTTGTGCTTTGCCTCGCTTCTCCGGGTTCGGATATCGAGTGATCTTAGATAGGTAGAACTTTTCCTCTTTCGAATAAAAGCCAAGCCTTCAACTGTTACTAGGTCCCGTATAAATTCTTCTGTATGCTCGAATAAACAAAACCCTAATGACTGATCTTGAACCCAGCCACCCTTTATCTTCCCTACCTGCGGGTAGTGAGATCAGAGAAATAGGGCGCCTTTTATATAGCCTAACAAGCGGCTTGGAATCTGGCTACCGATACGTATAGCCCGCATGAGCTGGTATTGCTACAGCAGAGAGATGGGCCGTAGACATTAGCAATTAACAACAGATCAATAAACTCAACAGGCAAAACCCCTTACTCCATCAGTGCATAAAATTGGGTCAGGCATTGCTTCATGTTTATTTTCATTAAGCGTGATTCGGCCTTGAAGAAACAGTCCTAGAGCAACGAAGGACATGGGAACTGAGAGGCAATGCCAGTAAGGAAGTAGCTATGCAGGGACGCTACATGGTGGCCGCTGCCTCGCAGAGGAGGATGGATCCAGTCTGGCACACTCTTTCCTTTTGTTGCTCAATCCTAGACAATATACATCTAGCAGCTAAATGTCCTAGGGCGTAGGCGCTGTAGCTGGCGTGTTCCTTAATGGCCAGTGCAATGCCAATCAAATCGCCAATCAGAGAAACTTCGTGAGGATAACCCCCAAGCCTTCGCAAGCCACAGCGCAAGTCCTCCAACGACCCCGAAACTACCCACAATTTGGATAATGGTCCAACCCCGTCGCTTGAGATCCTCAGACCACCAAACTAGACCCAGGGGATCATGAGGGCTTATACGTGCAATGCGGCATTCTACCATCTTTCCGTTTTGTGTCCGAACTAGAAGACCACCACCTGCTTTTTCCACAGGTACACGGAGACCACAGAAGCCAGGAGTCTGTGAGATAGGTACCAACGAACCATCTATAACACACTCGCCCAGTCGCTCCGTGAGCCAGACAGCACGATCCCCCCTTGCTATGGTAGCGTATCGTTCTCGTTCATTACGTAGGCTTTGCTGAAGGTCAGATGCCCACTTTGCCAGCTGTACCCGGGCCAACCTCTCTTCGTGACGAGTATGGTCGGATATTCGAGCCATGGTATAACTAGAGGGGCCGCCCCGTAAAGTGTGAACATCGGGAAGGGCGCCATTTGGTAGATTATCCTGCTGCCAGTAGAACTGCTCTTGTTGCCGTAGGGCAAGCTTCTTGGCAGATAAATGTCGCATCCAGGCTATGTTTTCTCGGTCAAATAACATCTGGACTAGGAGCATTAATTCGGACGCCATCAAAGGCTGGGCGTAGTCCGGGCTCATCAAGGTGCTGGCGTCCATAACGTCATCATCGTCGGACTTGGCGGACGAAACTGCAAAAGGACACTGAGCACTGAACCCGTCGACTTTGCCGAGGGATGCATCTCCGAAAAGGAAAAGTTTGATGTTGGCCTCTTGGGCTTGCTTATGAAATGTGGATTTGAGGGCCGAGACTCGACTGGATGACAAGAGATCTGATTTAGATACGACGGGTATGACGTTTGTCCAATCGCATAGCTTCCGGATAGATTCAATATCTGTAGAAAGGGTATCTGAAAAGACGTGAGCCCGGCAAATCAGAATAGAGCAAAAGGGGAGATTCATCACGTACCCTCGGAGATGAGGTATAAGACAGCGTCAACCTGGGCACCACCATTGCCCGCGAGCATATTCTGGAAATCATGATTGGCCGAGTTTAGGGACGTCATCGCTCGGAGAAGCTGTTGACGAATATATTGTACAATGATGTCAGTTTGCCCTGCACAGTCCGACGAGTTGGACTGAGGATCAACAAAACAGATATTGCGCTCAAGGACTACATCACCCATGCTCCGACGTCGTCGCAAAACACGTGAATCTTCTAGGTCTGACCACCATACGGGATATGGTTTAGTGCTAGCGTAAATTTCCGTGACAGATGGTGGAATACTGTGTGTCTGAGAGGGTCGGGTTGAAGAGCCAGGTGAGCGGGACGATGTCGAGGGGGAAAGGGAGGGAAAGGGGTCGACGTGAACGATATCTTCGCACGCTTGAACAATAGATTTGATGAGAGAGGTCTTCCCAGTGCCTAGGTACAAGTTTAATTCAGCAAATACTCCAATGATCAATTCTTAACCTAATCCGTACTTACCAGAAGCACCTGCTATTAGCACCTTCAGACGGCCCAATGACTTCCCTCGATCTGTAAAAGGCCTTCGACTGGGCATCCTGATACTTGGCATAACCAACTGAGATGCGCTATCAAGGCATACATTGAACGGCGTGGGGAAATCATTGTCTTCTTCTCCTGACGCGACAACCTCACTGCTTGCATCATCGGTGATCGAGATGTCATCAAGATGCCTCAGGGACTGATTGGAGAATGACTTGGGACTGCTGGGAAGAGAAAAGGATGGATCATCTGGGTTGCTGAGGTTCGAGGGCGTCAATGGTCGGGGGGAAGTGCGGTCGGAAGATGGTAAGGAAATTTCGAATCTGCTAGCATTGAGTAAATCGCTTGGTTTGAGGGTTGACTTGCGGCGAGGCAGTGAGGTAGCACCGTTAAGACCATTATCTAGATGATCGTGGGGAGGCGGTTGTGATTGTTGTTGTTGTCCGATCAGAGTCGTGGAATCATGGTTTCCACCCGAACGATAGGGCTCGCACTCGGAACCAGAGAGATTGACATCGTGAACGGCTTCTTCGAGGCTTTGTACACCATACATACTATCCCTTGAAGGAACCGACTCATCAGGAGAGAGCTCCTCGTCCGCATCGTGATCACGACTGCGGGCCAGGAAGAAGGTCGCGGGGGCAGTATTGCGGGGGTCGATCCACTGCTGTTCGATGGAGGCCTTGCGGGCCCTACGCAACGCGACATCCGGGACCGGCGGTCTCATGATAGGCAACGGGTAAGGAGAACTTATACAAGGTCCCCAGAATGTACATGGAGAAGAAAAGCAGAAACATGAAAAAGACGATAGTTTTGGCTTAGGTGATGCGCGGTGATATGATGTTGTTTGTTGAATTGCAATGTCCCATGTTATGTCATGTCACGTTGTTCAAGTCACGACCCCTCCAGCAACCCGAACCCCGCATTGCTAATACATGTACCTAGACATGGTCAGATCAATAGCTCTATATACACACACTATTACTACTACTCTTCCGGCCACAGTAGGTGTAGGATGAGAATTACCATGAAGCAATAGACATGACGGGGGAGAGCGGTTCGTCCATATTTATCAAGAGTCATTCACAAAAGAGTACAGAGTAAGTCGTGGACGGGAGTTCTTAGGGCAAAATCGAAGACAGCCGGTATGGTATAGTGGCAATGCTTCTAGGGCCTTTATTAGTCGAGATAATATTTATATTTTATCCTTCAGTGGAATATTACTTTGTCCTTCGAACATTCTACAGGCTCACAAAGCTATTAGGCTAGTGATAGTGGTTGGACTAAACCATTAGTTGCATAGTCAGTTGAAGCAAACCACATTCAATCACCTTTATGGTTTACCCTGCAATTCTAGAACTACGACGCTAGCGTGCATCCACACACGAAGCTAGCCCACAAGCGACAGAGCATCGGTGTCGGGGGAGTCTCCTCCGTTTCATAAAACTCGTAAATTAGAGAAGAAAAGGAAAAATTGAAGAACTGCCATAATATCTATTGATTGATTGGATTTTGAATCTGTCGGGGTTTCTTTCGTTTTCTTTGGACTTCTTTCGTTCTCCGGTTCGGAGAAGTGGCTGCCATGGTATACACATTTACTAGTAATATTGGAGGATGCGACTAACTACTAGTAGTATCATACAATGGGATGCTGCTGACTACGACAGTTTCATCATTCCACAGGGTTTAACCATAATAATTCTAGTAAAAAAATTTTAAATGCAAATAAGAAGGATAAATAATAACCTGTAAGCGCAACTGCCGCCCCCCTTAAAAGTGCGAGTAGCATAAGCGAAATCTTTCCTCTGAACACGAGTATAATAAATGCCACTTGGATTATACGGTCCGATAGGCAGTCATGAACCACGATACGTACGTCTTTCCAAATCATATAATAGGATTATGATATGGAAGTGTCTTTCATTGCGAACCTGAGATCCACCCCCAAATTCAATACGGAGCGTACTTCCTCTCTCTCCAGACTAAGTTTGCCACTAGGTAACTGAAAACCTTTCTGGTTGGTGCTTTCGCCTGAGGGCTCAAGAGTAGTTAGTCTCTTTTCCAACGGACCCATCGACATCCATGGTTGGCCCGGGAAACAGTTTTGATGAAGTCTTGTTTGTGCCCCCCGAATTTGTACCTTTTGAGGATGGATACCACACATGGAAGGTCAAGACGTATACTCATTTTGCTATAAACGTGAATAGGAGATATATTGAGGGTGTACATATTATATGAATAAATTTCTTTCTCTTACATAGAATCCTTATCGATAACAACTACATAAGTACGTCCCAGGTGTAAAAACCGAACCTTTTAGTAGCTTCTTCCTTCCGACTACTTCTCTTCCCGTCCAATCATGTTTAATTACCTTCCCATATTTCGACCTTCTTTAATTGGTTTAGTTCCTTGGGAAGCGGTATTTAGTACAAAGTACCGTTCTGTACTCCGTACAATCGTACCTTTCTTCTTTCTCCTTGTTTTCAAGCTCATATATACTTCTATCGCCTAGGATTTTCGCACACACATGTAGAAAGAGAGAAGATGTGAACAAGAAAGGATTACTTAATATTTATACATACCGATAGAGACAGCAGTGATTTTATAAGAGATTTTATACGATACTAGGTAGGTAATGAGTAAGTATTGCATATATATGTACAGAGTAGATATATACCTGCTACTATACTAATAGAAACTAGTACTGTACAGAGCTATTTCATACAGAAGTACCTTGTATTTTTTTTTTTTTTTCCCTCTCTCTCCCCCTCCACTTATCGAACTAAAACCAACCCGCCCCGGTTATCGACATTAATTAAGCAACCTTCCGTATCTCCGCCTGCTGGCACAGAACCCACCGAGGACTGTCTGATCCTCACTCACTCGCTCACTCACTCACTAGGTACCGAACAACCTAATAAAACTGACTAACATATGTAGTCGCTTGCCCGATCGGTCTATTCAGCTCGTGTTCAATTCTACTCTCGCTTGCTCTTCATTGTCTTGTCTCCACCAGATCTATATCCTGCTCTCATTGATTTTATCTTCTGCCGTTAGTCAACGTTCGGGATTCTACTCATCTTGTCTTCCCACGGTCGCCATGTCTGCCAGCCTATCTTGCTGAGCTGACGCTCCATCGCTCACTTCCTTTTATCTCCACTGGTCAATTTCCTTTGCTTCAATCTCCGAAGTTCCAACCTTGCTCTGTCCGACCCAGTTTGCCGAATACCCCCAAAATTACTCCCGAGTTACTGTCCTTATCGAGAGTCTTAGTTTTTCGTTCTGCAACACTGCGTTCCAGACTCCCTTCAGAGACGTGGGGTTTACTGATTTCTAACGCAAATACAAACAAGGGGGAGGGATATTAAGAAAAGAAAAGAAAAGAAGAAAACCCTCCCGTTCCACCATGGAGCAAGACAACTCGCTTTCCTGGCCGGATATCACCGCCCCCGGCGACGATGAATTCTCCAACTTCCTCGAGTTTGGAATGCATTTCCCCGACATGGAGGGGCACGGGCCATCCGACCAGCACCCTCCTCGTTCCGTCGCTCATTCGGTATCGATGCCTACCTCAACCACTCCTTCGGGCCAGGAACAGCTTATGCGCATGGAAACCGATGCGGTAGCCCCTCAGTCGTCGTCGTATGACCGCATGATGGGCGATTTTTCCATTGAGCTCTCCAACCAAGTTCACCAAAGCCAGTCGCACGGCTCTATCCCAGCGTCTTTCTCCGATGCCCCATTGACTCCGGCCTTCTATGCTCAGAAACCCCCGCATTCCCAGATATTTAATCACCAGCAACTGCAACAGCCCCCGGAGCAGTCGCACCATCAGCATGTTCACCATTCGCAGCCAACATCCCAGCCTTACGTACCTCACGGTCAGCCTGTGATTCCTCCGACCCCTAACAGTATTGAAATGCAGGGAAGTGCGGCCACATACCCACAACGCGTGGATGAGAATCATGAAATGTACGACCGGTACGCTCGCATAAATGAGGAACAAGTAAGCGAAACAGTCAACTTGCCACAAACTCTACATCAATATGCGCGTGGCTAATGCACTACCCCTCCCTTACAGGCTCTCTACACCCCCTTGGTGTCTCCTGCGATGACCCCACTGGAGACCCAATTCCGGCTGCCAGAGTATACAATTCCTGGAGAGTACTTTACCCCTCTAACCTCCCCCGCCCTCGAGGCCCAAAATGCGAATTCAACCAGCTATCCATTTCATTCTGGCCATGTCTCGGATATGGGCTTTGTGAATTCCCCCATTGACAATTCCATTCCTGTTTCATCGTCCCCAAATTCGCCTGGCTTGATTCGGAAACACCGACGCGACCATCAAACACCAAGACATTTTCTGCTAGGGCTAAGAAGCAACAATCCCCTTCGGTGCGGCCTCAGACACGGAAGAAGTCACTCCTACAAATTAACTCGGATGAGATATTGAACGGCCTCAGTCAACATCAAGGTGGCCCAAGGTCACAACCCTCCACTGGTAGCGGGCTGCGGTATGGCAGCAATGAGAGCTCCGGCCAGGATTCCGTTTCCCCTGAACCCCTGTCAGAACCTCTGATGCCGCCTCCTGCTCTACCCCCTGCTCGGAGATCTCCCGCGATTGCTCCTCAGATGGTGCAATCGCAAACAAACGAGCCTGCGACCCCAGCTATGTTGATGCGCATTCAGCGGCCGCAGCATAGTCCAGCCGCAACTGGGCAAGCGTCAGGCCCTGTGTCGTCCGAGCCACACGATGATATCATGGAAGAGGTTATTCTTCCAGAGGCAGCTACTCCTACTACCCATTTCTCCCAATCACAAGTGACCCGCATCGACACCTCCCTGCGAAATGTCCGTACGGATGCAGCGTCCCCAGCCACGTCAGCCGGTCTCACTCCAGCTCTAGAACCCAAATCGACTCCCTTGGCTGAGCGTAACCCAAGTTCAGTAGCTCCTAGTCCGCGCACTGTCGCTATGCCTTCTCCAAGCGGGCCAATAGGCAAGAAATCAGACACGCCCAAACTCGGGCCGTTGGGTAGAAAGCGACAGAGTCTTAGCTCATCTCAACCAAGTCCGAATCTACGCCCTAAAATAAGCCCTAGCATACAACCATTGGTCCGAGGAGAATGTAAGCAAAATTCAAGATCATTAATCAGCCGAGTTTTTTAAACTGACTTCATCTCGTTCAGCAGGCATATCAAGTGAGACCTCGGCCTTATATCTAGCCTCCAAATCGAACTACCAGCATATCTTGGATGGAACCCTCCTTCCTGGCGTATCTTATCCTGAAGCGTTGGCCGAAAATTTGAGCTCCAAGCGGACAAACCATAAGCTTGCGGAGCAAGGCCGACGTAATCGCATTAACAATGCGCTTAAGGAAATTGAAGCTCTGATTCCAGCTGGGTTTGTCAACATGAAGAATGTGAAAGATGCCACGCTTGCAGTCTGAAAGGCAGTGAAAAGGAGAAAGAGAAGCCCAGCAATCAGCAGATTAGCAAGGCCAGCACCGTTGAGATGGCCATTGATTATATTAAAGCATTGAAGAAGGAACTCGAGGAAACAAAGGGCAAGCTAAAAGCTGCTGAGGCCCGACTAGGCGAGAAAGAAACTTCTCAAACCCACGACGTCGACTCAGTTGGCCCCGAGAATGAGCAACTGGAGAAGCCTGGCGAGGTTGTAGGTGTGCCTACAAGTCCTGTACCCAATGGCCCTGCAGAATCTTACGATTGAGACATCGTGATGATTCGAATCGAATGCTCTTTTGCCTAGAGGCACCTGATTTATGTGACATGCTTTACGACAACAGAATTCAGGAAATTGTTAGACGGTGACCGAAAAGAGTTGGATTGGATTTTCAGTGTATAAAATGGTATGGGTTTTTGATCTAGACTTGGCATCTGGGAGGCCTTTTCTTTGCGCTTTTGCTTTGTTCTTCAATGGTGATCTGGAGTGGCCGTGGTTTTTTTCCCATTCTTCATTCTTTTTTTCTAGCTTCAAGCCTTCGCGCCGTCACCTCTTGTCTTACTACCTATGTTAATACCAACACCGCTTCGCTGGTTACGATTGACTTGAAATCAGCTTAGGTGTATTGTTACTTGTTCCTATTCTATTTGGATGAGGCTCTTGTAATCAGAACTAGTAGGCTATTTCTCGCATCCTCTACTTCTGAACTTTTGGAGACCAGTACTATTTTATGATATATATCACTTGGTGTCGTACAACTCCATGTATACGATAATCGACTTGGGGTTTGATTTATAATGAAACAGCTATGTCCTAGTGATAACGGATCGTAAAATAAGTGAACATCAACCGCGAGAGGCTAGCCCTTATGTAGCTAATCTGTACAACAATAACCGTTTAGCCATATAAATGCACATGCAAATGCGAAACTTTTAGATTTCATTGCTCATTACGGTTTTCAGTGCCTCAGTAGTCCCTCATCACGGCCACCATGTCGTCTAAACGGGCCACTTCTCCCAGCAAGAGTGCTTCTTTCGCCCTCCATTGTTCGAGTAAGGCTAATTCTGCTTCAGACAAGTATCGTTCCTCATTGCCCTTGACATCGCTTCGCTCTGTCTTCTCAAGAAATTCTTTCAATCGATTCCGTTCGAATCGCAGGCGTTGCAAACATCGAGACATTGCCTTGTACGTATCCTCCAGGACACTATTACTGACACGGTCGGGGTCATAGAACCAGAGAAAAATGGTTTTTGAAGGCTGTCGCAGTGCGTCTCGCGGCACTTCCTGTAAGTCGACGAACCCACCCGTCTGCATGCTGGCGAGAACCTGGCGTAGGTCTTTGAATGGAAGAAGGCTAATTTCCTGTAGACGTTTCTCATCTAGTTTGCCCTTGTCATGGAGTACGCGGACAACCCGTAATGCAACATCGCCGTATCTCGCTTCGATGATACGTTCCAGTTCGAGATGGCGAAGCTTGCGTGCCAGGTGGCGGAACTCGACAGTCCAGGTGATTAGACCCGAAACCATGCGTTTTGATGTGAGGCTATAAGGTGGTTGAGCTAGAAGGCAGAGATGCTGGTCGACTTCGTAAGTACGATTTCCATCTGATTGTGTCCCGTTAGTCTCATCATGGGCTACACCGTTTACACTTTCTTCCAAGAGCCGCTTGCCGCGCCTGTTTATAGGTTGAGAGACCTCCATGGGACCAACCGATCCTGCCAGGTCCAGCAACAGGTCGACATCCTCTACCACTGCTCTTAGAGGAACTGGCACAGAATATTGTTCACCCTCCTCTCCCTCGCGAGGGATTTCAGTAGTATCTCGGCATTTTGCTGTCTGGTATTCGATACGTCGTAGAAGACATTCGTAAACTTCGGCTGTCACAGGAGACGAGTCCCGCTCTGCAAGTTCCAAAAAACGGCGATTCCGGAGAGCGACATCCAATTTTTCATAATTTATGCGTACAGTGATACCAGACTAAACACCATTCCATCAGTTCTCCTATGGAAAGAACAACCGCCCCAAAGGGGCCCTGAAAGCTTAAGGGAAGGGAAAACCTACCTCCATGGGTATTGTGTCTTCACCAAACTCATCGTCTGACCAATCGTTTTCTTCTTCACCGTCCTCATCCTCGTCGACAGCAGCATAGTCAACTCGCGCCTTTTTATTAGGTGCCCCGGTAGCTCCAGTGGTATGTCTTCGTTTAGCTCCTCGGGGTACTCCATTAAACATCAACCCGCGAGTGAGATCTCCGTCCAGCCGTTCTTTGAGCAATTCTAGCGTCCCCTCTGTAACAGCCTCCTCTAGTTTCTTTCCCTTGAGGGCTTTAATGTCTGGTCTTGACTTGATTGTGCGCTCCGCATCCAAAGCGTTGTCGGCATAGCTTTGAAATTGAGCATCCCTGACACGTAATAAGTAACCATGTCCTGCCAAGGCCTTTAAAGTCGGATGAAGAAGAGTTGGATGTTCAGTAGGAGTATAACCGCTATTGAGCCCATTCGGTCGGTCTTCAGTTTCCCCATGTTCGTCAGTTTCCTGGTGTGTTTCCTCTCCTTGATGCTCTTCGGCTTCCTGAATTACCTCATGCTTCTCGCCAGCCCTATCTAGATCGGAATTCGAAGGTCTTAGAGCCGGAAGGGTTTCAAGATAGCCGACTTGCGCATGGCCAAGAAACATAATCGTCGACATAACAGTGGCAGCATATTTTCCCAATCGATGTTCTATAAGCTCCAAAATCTTCCCGGATCGGATGAGATAGTATGCGGATTGCATGTTGGGTTCGTAGTACGTAATACCGTCATCGTAGGACGTGTAGTGGTAGACAAGGTGTTGTTGAATCATAGCAGCGAGGCCATGACGAAGCTGGGCGTTGGAGAGACGGGAGTAGAATTTCAGCCGGGGAAAGGAAAGTCGATCATAGCGGTTTAGTGTCGAGAAAATGCGCTGTGTCCGCGAGGTACATAAGAGTCAGCCACATCAGGCTTCTCGCTCCTCACCAAGGTTCCAGGCAAGAGTGGAAAAGTAGTTGATAGGTGTCCAAATGCAAACCTACCGCAAACAGTTCCCCAAAGTTATCTTCGACAAGGAGCGCACAGAGCTCTCCAGCATACTGCCATCCATCAGGTTAATGCGTGAGACTTATGTAGGTGGAGCAGTCGCATACTTGGGAAGTCATATTAGCTCGAGACTTCTAGAGAATTTACCAGCTTCAATTCTCTAGAAGGAAACAGCGGTCACCGCCAGATAGTCATAGGGAATTGGTATCGGCCAGCTAATAAATAGAAGAAGCACAAACTGGCTGCAGAGCAAACGAGGCAAGCTACCTTTTCCCCCTCTTTGTCCTACTTTTTTTTCTCTTATCGCAATGCTTCGCCGGGGCTCACGTGCAGCCTACTATCATGTGACATCAGCTGACACGGAGGACGAGGAAAAGCCGGTTCCGCCCGGACTCGCCATTCTGACCAATCAGAGAGAGAGTAATCAAGGCTCCGGCATCTTGAAGCTTTTCAGACATCGTTTCCAACCCGCCCAACGACAGTCAGAAGCACTCTTCTGCTCTCCCTCTCACCCCACCCTCTCCAATTGCTGTCGAGCTCCTCGGCCTCCTATCTTCCACCTCACATATTTTATATTCCGCACATGCGATAATGCTGTCGCGGTCTACTTTCAGCCGAAATGCGCCCCGTGCGCTCCAGAAGCAGTGCTCTGCTGCCGGCATCAACAGCCGTCGAAGCATGGCCTCTGCTGCGACCCCAGGCCTTCAGTACGATGTCACCGAGCTGCTGGCGTGAAGCTCGCCAATAGAGAAGTAGCAGGCCCTACAGCAACCCTGGCGTTGGTTGCAAAGGCCGGCCCTCGTCACCAGCCTTTCCCAGGTTTCTCCGATGCTCTCGAACAATTCGCCTTCAAGGTTAGTTCCGGCACTCAATGTCCACTCTTACTGGCTACGCGTTACTATGCGAGATGGGAATTGACGAGATTTTCATCAATTAATAGTCTACACTCAAACGGTCGGCGTTGCGGATCAACCGGGAGGTTGAACTGCTCGGCGGTGAAGTTTCTTCTACACACTCGCGTGAAAATGTTGTCCTCAAGGCCAAGTTTCTCTCGAACGATCTTCCTTACTTTGCCGAATTGCTTGCAGAGGTTGCTTCTCAGTCAAAGTTTGCAGGTATGTCGCCAGAGTGGTCATATCAGCTCCGATGGAGGGTCTAATTAGATTCATCAGCCCACGAATTGAACGAGGTCGTCATCAAGCACCTCAAGCTCAGACAACAAGCCCTTGCCGCCAACCCTGAGCAGCAGGCTGTCGATGCTGCTCACGCTCTGGCCTTCCACCGCGGCCTGGGTGAGAGCATTACCCCTTCTACCACTACTCCTTTCGAGAAATACCTTTCGGCTGAAGCCCTCGCCGAGTTCGCCCAGCAGGCTTATGCCAAGTCCAACATTGCCCTTGTTGGCAGTGGCTCGAACTCTGCCGATCTTTCCAAGTGGGTTGGCCAGTTCTTCAAGGAACTCCCCAGTTCTGGCAGCTCCAGTCAGTATCAGCTCCAGCCCGGCGCAGCTTCCAAGTACCATGGTGGTGAGCAGCGCATCTCTTCCAAGGCCGGTAACGCCGTTGTCATTGCATTCCCTGGCTCCGCTGCTTTCGGCACCTCTGGCTACAAGCCTGAGGCTTCTGTTCTTGCTGCCCTCCTGGGTGGTGAGTCCACTATCAAGTGGACTCCTGGCTTCTCCCTCCTGGCTCAGAGTACTCAGGCTTCTCCCAAGTCCGTGCCTCTACCAAGAGCCACACCTACTCTGATGCTGGCCTTTTCACCATTTCACTTTCTGGTAAGGCCGATCATGTTGCTTCAGCTAGCAAGAATGCTGTGGATGCCCTCAAGAAGGTTGCCGCCGGCGAAGTTGCTAGCGAAGACATCAAAAAGGCAATCGCTTTGGCGAAGTTCCGTGCTCTTGAATCGGCTCAGAACCTTGAAACCGGTCTTGAGGCTACTGGCTCTGCTCTTCTCAGCGGCGGCAAGCTTACCAGATCGGCGAAATCGCTCAAAGCATTGACGCCGTTACGGAGGCCCAGGTTACGGATGTAAGTATATCATATTCACTTTGCGTTGGTATCGTTGAAAACAGGAAGATGACTAATTGTCTTTGACAGGCTGCAAAGAACTTCCTCTCTGGCAAGGCCTCCGTCGCCTCTGTTGGAGACCTCTTCCAGCTTCCTTACGGCGAGGACCTTGGTCTGACCGTTTAAAGTGTATACAATACATATTAGACTGTCTTTGCAAAAAAAGGCATCACCCCCTTCTCATGTGTCTAGATCAGTCTCCGCAGATGTTTCTTTTGTGACGTGGTTGTAGTTGTGTGACTGTAATACAATTGTACCTTATCCAATACTCTTCACATAACAGTGTAGTATGGGTTTATGTGCTATATTTCTCTAGAGTTATCCTCCCAGGAGAGATTGATTGAGGAAATTTCTAGGTCCTTGGGCCGCCTTTGGCAGTGTTTGACGCTATGGTAATAATATGGAAGGCTATAGAAATCAATACAAACGTAAACAATACAGTCATTTTTTATCATGTCAAACTTTAGGGTGTATATACATTATAATGTGGATAATTTTTTATCAATGTATAGAGTATTTGCCCAACTCATTGCACAATTGTAGTAGCACATCCATATATTGAATGGTGCTTTTTCCCTACTAGTACTTTTCTGTGGGTGACCAGTGAACTTGAATAGGACACCTCCACTTGCGGAGCATCCATAATAGGGAATCACACCATCATGGTCACTGATGTTAGCTTGTACTGTCTCTGGCCATGAAGACTCAGCGGGGCTGTATTTTATTATATGGATTGTGTTCTCAATTTCTGTAGTTCTCTTCCACTTTTTATTTATAGTTTTCTATTGGCTATGAAAGTGTCATGCTGTAAGTCAACCAATAAGATCCATTAATACATAGGAAATGGCGAAACATGTTCCAACATTACATAGAACCCGCTCCTTTTTCAGAGACAGTAAGTAGTATTTAGGTGCTCATAGCATCCTACATTATCACTACTGAATATTTACCCGTGAAATGTCGTGATTTACCTGGATAGGCTAAGTGGACTACTGCATATCTGGTCTTTTGGCTTCAACTTGGAAGCACAAAAAACCAGCATATATATATGAGTTTAAAATGGATTAATGATCCCTGGAAAGTAAAACTAGCACCATCTGTGCTGACTACTATCTCGTAGGTACTATTATAGGCGGGAATATGACTCAGTAGCAAGGGTCCAAAGTACTCAATACTTCATGCACGTGATCTATGGCAACTCCATCCATTGCCCAATCACTCCCGGGCCGTGCATAGTAGAAGGGTATCTCAAACCTTCTCTAGTGCTTAGCGGTGACTTGATCGCCCGTCAGTTTTTCGACTGCTTCCTTGGCCCTATTCGGTACGACGGAGACCCACAGGTTAGCCAAACTCCGCTCCTCGGCTATCACATGAAGATCGGGGAACTGGTGATCAGACAACCTGTGTTTTCGGGGGATGGTAACCTTGGCCCGAAAACTACAACTAGTCCTGCACACCTTGGGGAATAGTCAACTCACATGTCACCAAGAGCCACCATGCAGACGGTCTGCCAGATTCCTAGTCCTATACGGGGAGTAACTCCACGGTAAAGACCCTTAAGACCATTGGTCTCGTAGATATACTTGAAGGTTTTGCCAACGGTCAAGTTCTTAGGCCGGTTGGGGTCGTCCTTCTTACTCTGCATCTCGACACGAATGACTTCAATAGGCTGGTTCCAAGCAGAGAGGCCACCACCAAGACCAGAGGCTATGACCTTCTCCATTGCACCAAGCTTTTGTCCTTCTTCCTTGTTGGTCACCTTGCGGATTGCTGATTCTGCGAGACGGGAAAGACCGAAACGGGAACCCCAGTTTGTAGTTTGACGGATAGCAACCGCATTTACACCGCGGTTAATACCACGGATGCCCTCCTTGCGGTAGATATCCATGAAAGTCGCGAAGGTGCTTGGAGGCTTTACACCCTGAGCAGCCATCTTGTGCTTGGTGATCTCGACCGTCTTCATACAGGTACAGAAACCCATAGTGGCATATGCCTGGGCAATACCACCCGCCATACCTCCTGAGATACCAGCGAGAAAGTCTGGCGCACCGAGCACCTTGGCACCAAATTCCGCCTCGGACGCGACGAAAAGGAGAACGGCGCCTTTGGTGGAGGCCTCAATCCAGGCCCACGGAATGAGACCTTGATAATCTGCAGAGACATCCCACGTCAGAAACTGCAGCCCCCACACTAGTCGGATAACAGGAAAGAAAGCTACTTACAACCGAGGATCCCGCCACGACCCCATATCCGACCCATAGCGCTGGCGAAACTGTCGCCTCGATTGGCGGCCATGGTCGTCTTGATCACTTCCAGCGGCTAAATGAAACATTAGAAAAAATATCACCAAATTTCATTGGGTATGCCGAAATATTATACCTGTCCCAAAGTGGTGACCCTAAGTAATCATGTCAGTACCGAAGATCTCTCCCTTTTCACTTCATGGTGGACGGAGGGTATAAGCCGCATTACTTACTCGAACATATTCAATCCTGCACCGACTATACAAAAAACTATCAGAACCAAGTCGTTATCTATAATGTTGGGTGGCACCTACGCAACAGATTGCTGAACTTGACGGGCTTCTTCTCGAGCTTGTGGCCGGCAGTGGCCATCTCAGCTGTGGTAGTAGACATCTCTGACCTTGGGGAGCGCTGAAAGGGGCCCTGACCAAGGGATGTTGGGGGCTTCGTCGCCTAAGGGATCAGGTCAAGTCGACTGTTGTTTGCAATGGGAACGTCAGGAGCAACGATTGCTTTCAATCGAACTTCAAGCGCTAGGAATGGTCGTGGGTTGTCAAACGGGGGACGATTTAAGTGGCCGATAAAGTAGAGGGGAAAGGAGAAGCAGTGATGGGCAAACAGCACAGGAAAGAGTGGAAATATAAAGTCCAGGAGGATGGATTACCCGGCGTACGTACTCCAAGTTAACTAGTTGCTAGACCCGACTAGGCACTCGACGGCCTAAGGCCAGTTGCCGTCCCCTTAAACTGCAAAAATAAAACCGACGTCGGGGACATTGGGGAGACGCTAAACCTAATTAGAGCATTTCTAGGCTGAGTCCTGGCACTAGGCCCAGTGTGGTCCGGCGGTGTAATTGGCTTCAGTTGAGCCAACGGAGCAAATCGGGTGCCCCCCAACATTACCTATTCTTGGCTCAGCTGTCCTGCAGTGGGACGCTGCAATTTACAGAAATGGTTGAGCCGTCCCGATCCTAGTCTCAAATTCCTCTCAACCTCCTGGCTCATGCCCCAGATACCTCAAAGATGTACAGAGTAAACAAACAGCCACTGGCAACTCGCTACTCACATTTACTACGGGTTATACTAATTGTATGTGTACCGGCCTTGAAAATAAAATATTAGTATGCTGAACCTTACCTAAATGTATGTATGGTGTACTCCGTACTTGTATATTATTTGTTCTTCCTCCCAGGTCCGGTGGAAGGTACCGCATTCTCATAACACTATTTTCTTTATCTTGTTTGTATTTTTCTTTTACCTATTCGAGGGACAGCTTTATCCAGTATGCGAGCGACTGTGATTCTACTACTAGGTAGTATTAATTCCAGGTTACAGACTTACAGTACGGTATGTAGTACCTAGATACGTATTCATGTGATAGACATGAGCTGTGAGATCATTACACATCAAGCGCATGTCAGATAAACCTCGGAAATCACAGGTGGTTCAAAGGGAACCGCACTAATGCATCGGTGCTGTACTTGTGTATTGGCGGCTGCTTCACCATTATTATTATTGCTACTTAATATTATTTTTATCAGTTTCACATCCCGTCCTTCTCTTTCTGGTCCCTTGCATCGGACCGAGTCGTGGCTCTTCCCATCTATAGAAAGAAAGGGATTTGGAGAGCAGAGTTGTCTGTTTCTAATTTGTAGTGGTGATTGTTTTCATCACGCATGAGCTGGAATAGGGCAGAAGCCATCTAGTCAAAAGATCGGCACGATATTGGAGCGCTGTTACAAGGCCCGCTCGGACCAGGTCCTATCATACATTAATCAAACTAACCACAGCACTCGTCACATCCTAGTCTAATAAAATAGTAAGGGAAAAATACAAAATGGTGTGCTTAATCATAAAAAACCCCCTCCGAGTTCTCGCGTCATTCTACAAATTTACAGCTTGGCACCGACAAGCTTGGCATAAGCCTCAGTGCTGAAGGACTTGGGGCGCTCAATGGGGGCACCAAGGGCGCGATCAATGATCAGCTGAGGCAGGACACCAAGAGCACGAGAGACACCGAACAGGACGGTGTAATAGTTGGCCTCAGTCAGGCCGTAGTACTGGAGAAGGACACCAGAGTGCTGGAAATAGGTCAGAATTCGTTGGCTTGTAATCGGATGATCTTGAAATGCACGCTAGACTTACAGCATCGACATTGGGGAAGGGGTTCTTGGTCTTGCCGTGCTCAGTCAGCACGCCAGGAGCAATCTTGTAAACCTGGCTGACGAGCTTGAACATCTGATCATCAGGAAGCTTGCGAAGGGCAAACTCGCGCTGAGAAACGTAACGAGGATCGGTCTTACGGAGGACGGCGTGGCCGTATCCGGGAACAACCTGACCAGCGTTGAGAGTGGACCACAAGTAGTCTTTAATGGCCTGGTCACTGAGGTCGTTGCCAATGGCCGCCTTCATCTTTGTGAGCCAGTTAAGCACTTCCTGGTTCGCCCTGTTCAAGTAAACATGTTAGCTATAGTGACTCTCGCATCCTTTCGTCTTTCTATTTATTTCCGATGCGTCCTTAAAACGAGGGATAAACATACAATCCATGAAGAGGGCCGGCCAATCCGTTCAGACCAGCGGACAAAGAAAGCATAGGGGAGCTAAGAGCACTACCAACAAGGTGAGTGGTGTGAGCGCTGACGTTTCCACCCTCGTGATCAGAGTGGATGGTCAGGTATAAACGCATCAGTTCAACGAAGTCATTGTTGTTACCATAGCCGAGCTGGTTGGCCAAGTTGTAGGAGTAGTCCTTGTCCTTCTGGATAGGGGCGACCTTGCCGTCCTTAAAGACGTTGCGGTAGATCTTCGCGGCGATAGTAGGGAGTTTGGCAATGAGGTCCATGGAATCCTCGAAGGTGTAGTTCCAGTAGTCCTTCTTGTTGATACCCTTAGCGTAGGCCTTGGCGAAAGCGGACTCGTGTTCAAGGGCAGTGACAGCCAGAGAGAACTGCGCCATGGGGTGAAGAGTGCTGGGGCAGCGGTCAATGAGCTCCTCAATGAATTTGGGGAGGTCAGAGCGAGCAGCCCACTCAGCAGACAGGTCGCGAACCTGCTGCTCAGAGGGAATTTCGCCGGTCAACAGCAGCCAAAAGAGACCTACGGCATATTAGCAAGGTGCACAATCATCTTCTAGGGGATCGGTATACCTTCGGGAAGAGGCTCCTCGCCACCGGGAGCCTTGGGCAACAGCTTCTGGCATTCGGGGATCTATGTAACCATGAGTATATGATGTTCCCCCACAAGAGAGAACCGGATGATACATACGGTGTATCCACGGAAACGGATACCTTCCTCGGAATCCAAAACAGAACCCTGAACTAGAATTAGCAAATCCTCATCGATAGCTGTTGACTCCGTTGCGCATGACATACTTCCCACACGAGGCATTTCACACCACGAGCACCGCCGTAGGCCTGGTCGAGGGTGAGCTCGCCGATGACCTTGTTACCATATTCCCTACAAGCGTTGATTGGCGTGGTTAGCAAATGGGCTGGTGCTCAAGGTATTACTGTAGTGCTGTGCATACTTCCTGAGCTTCTTGACCTTCTCAATCTCGCCAGGGAGCTTGTCGGCGAATGTCTCCTTCAGGGACTGCATAGTTCAAAGTCATTTCAGTTAGCCAAGTCAAGAATCGGTAGCAATATAAACAATATGACAAACCTTGGCCTTGCCAGTAGAGTAACAGCGCAAACCATTGAAGGCAACGGACTGCACGACCGGCTTGCCGGCGAGAGAGGTGGAACGAAGAACAGAAGTTCCGAGTCTCAAGGAAGAAGCCATGTCGAATCAAACAACCTTGGTTGGGCGGTTGAGTATAATTGATGAATGGAGAGGCTCTGGGTATATTAAGATAGTGATAGAGAGAAAGAAGAAGAAAAGATGCTGAGGTTTCGGGAGAAGCTCTTTTTTTTTTCCCATCTGACCGTAACAGTACAGCCGGTACATGGGCGGTACAGTAAAGGTCGGCAACGAGGCAAGGCAATGGCGGGATTCCGTACTGTACCGTAATGCTATGCGCAGGAAGGTGGCCCGGTCTACCGAATCCCTTCCATCGGCGATCTGTGATCCCTCGCCCGCCAGATTCCGTTGCGCGGGACGGAGTACCGGAGTAATTGATTACCTAGGCAGAGCAAGCTCTCGCTCTTGTTTGTTTCCCCCCTAATTCCTTTCATTATTGGTTTTACCAAACTCTTCGTTATGATAGATTTTACCGACATGGTCACCCTTGTATTCCTTTGCCCCAAGGTCTGCAGTACATCTTTGAAATCACATAATTCCATTTGATATTGTCTATATAGACTGTGCGGTCGCTCGCCAGCAAAACTGACGATCTCGGCACGCATTCCATCCGTAAACGGAGTAATTCACTTTCAATTGAAGTTCCCATGGCTAGTGACGTCGGCCGCTACCCGAGTTTGGGTCGGACCCATCACTAAGGTAGTAGCTGCAGTACTCCGTACCGAGAATCAGATAACCAATTGAGTACTTGCCAGGGTATGAACAAGGTGCCGATAAATTATGTGAAATTGCCTTGCTAGAGATACAGAGTAAGCGGCAGATATTGTTTTGCTACCAACAGTACTCCATGCTCTGTAGTATGCTTCAATTGTTCCGTACTTTACCACTGCAGATTCTTCGGCCCCCTGTGGGTGGGCACCCAGAAGGAAAACTCCTTAACTCAATTAGTAGTTACTGCGTACGGAGTACCACATTCGATTCACCGGCCTGAGGTCATCATTGAAGCTTAGTAAGTAGACTTTTGGGGCCCGATCAACACGTGACATATGTTTCAAGCCTTAGGCCCCCAACCGAAATTTCAATGTGAAATTGTGGGTTTACCAATTAAGGGCTAGCGCAACTTATGATTTTTCTCCTCACCTGACTAACTGCCTTGTCTACGGAAAATCACTCCTTCCTTAATACTTCTTTCACTTCACAGCATCACCTTCACGTCAACCTTTATCTACTCCTTTATTGCATTTTTTGTTCTACATTGTAATCTATCACATCTGCCTTTCTTTTGATTTGCCTGACAACTTTCACCTTAGGACGTACCTTGTACACATACTCGCTCGCGAGTCGCAAAACTCCTGGACACCATCGCTTGGCTGTGTTCCAGCTGTAGGCGGAAGCCCCCCCTGGTCGCCAGAAGTCCGCTCGTGGAATTCTGTAGTGCTACGACCAGAAGTCCGCTTAGGAACTTGTCCTCTACGTCTTGAAATCCAAAAGCACAGCAGCTATCACTAAGAATCACTATCTTCTTGACTGAACTGGATCTCCCAGTAGAAACGACTCGTTGGCCCCTTGATACACCCAGACGCCTATACTATATTATTTGAAGCAATAGGTTTTGTCAAAGAGCTTCCTGGGAATATCTACCAACCATATCTCCGTACTGGAATCCGGCCCCTCTAATACATACTATCAACAATGTCGTCTGCTGTAGCAGAACTGGACAATTATCTCCAGTCTATGCTTGCCCTTAAGCCTCCTGGTGTCTCAGGATCTAAGATCAACAGTATAACGTCGCTTTGCACCGCAAACGTTCAGGTATTGTACCCCTTCGTGCTTGGATTGACAAGGGCTATCATAAGAGTGAATGGCAAGCTGACAGAAATTCTTTCTTTTGCAGAATGAATCCGTTCTTATCCAGAAGATCTATACACACTTCAAGAAGGCTCCGGGAACACACAAGTTGGGCGTACTCTATGTCGTAGACTCTGTAACTCGACAGTGGGTAGAAGCAGCGCGCAAGGCAGGTCAACCATCTGGTAGTGCCGCTCCTGATGGAACCTTCGCCGCTGGTGTTAACAGAGTGACCGAATTACTACCTGTCTTGATGACTGATATCATAAACAACGCTCCTGAGGATCAAAAGGTACGCTCTAGATGCAAGATGCATACAGCCATCAAACTACCACACAACCTGCGGGCATGCGTACGGCCGATAAAAAGCGGAGATTTACGTTCAAATCCTGCTGTGGCCTGTATAAGATTTGATCTACGTATCTCCCGCTATATATCCCCCCCTTTCTGCATAGAGCCCGCCATTCCTTTTCTAGGTGTTTACTCTGTCAATTTGTGGCGAATAGTTCAACTTACGTATCCGATGGTCTCTTCATATAGGAAAAAATCAGGAAACTGGTTGATATTTGGGAGCGTGGATATACTTTCCCCGCCCCCATGCTTGCCTCCTTCAAAGAAAAACTAAACGCACCCGCAGCACACAGTAAGCTTGTTTCCCTTCCCTTCCATTTTATATGATATGGACGCCGTTACGCCGTACCCCGACTTGGTTGTATAACCGAAGGAGCCATTGGCGGCTCTTCTAAACGCCAAGATAAGTGCACACAGAATTCTGATCTTGCTTCTATAGATGTTGAGTCCACTACACCCGAGGGTTCCCCAGCCCCAAATTATATTCCTCTTGGGGGTCCTCAGCAGTCGCAGCTACTGCCACCATCTAATGGCGCAACATCGACCACTCCTCAGTCGGTGCCGGATACCTCTAGTATATTGAAAGCCCTCGCTGATATGGCCAAACAAAATACAGCGGCTCCCCCAGCGTCAGCAGCGCCGGCAGTAGCACCGCAGTCTAATCCCCTTGGTACTTTAACCCAGCAGAGTGCAGCTCCGCAGCCAGTGTCGTCCTCCGTAGACCAGGCATCACAATCCCAGAATGGGCAGGCTAGCGTAAACCCATTTACTGCTGGGGCTATGGCGACACCTTTCGCGGCCTTGAGTAATGTCGCTCAAAACACGGCATTGGTACAACCGCAAAGCCAGAGTCAGACTCCAAACCCATTGACTGCGACACAGAATCCACTGGCTGCGCTACTACCACAGGCTACTACAGCCCCAGCCCACCCCTCTCCCGCTGTTGCGACCGATGCGCTGCAACAGCAACTCCAGCTCTTGCAGCTCCTGGCCGCGCAGGGAATTCCACAAGACCAGTGGGCCACCGCTCTGCAGATCCTTAGTCTGTCTAATGCCACTAACATGGGTAACATGAACCCTACCCAGGCTGCTGGCTTTAACTTACCAGGTCAAAACGTCAATGCCTGGGGCCGTCCCGATTCCCAATCACGTGAGTTCGACCGGGACCGGGAACGGGACCGTGACTATATGCGCTCACCTCCAGGCCAGTATCGTCGCCGTTCCCGGTCGCCAGGCTGGGATAGACGTCGTGATGCGTCCCCCCCTCGTCGCCGTGATAGTCCTGTCTACGGCGAGTACCATGGTGACTCTCCTGGTCGCAGAGGTGGTGATCCCCGCGGCCGGCGTGGGAATGATTATCGTCAGCGCAGCCCTCCTGGGCGTAGACGTCGTACTCCGTCTCCTCCCCGTAAGGACCCTACTCTGCCGCCTCCCGGGCCCAAATTTATTGAGTGGGATTACTCCATCGGCCAAGGCAATATTAAAGGTCCGTACCGGCTCGATCGCAAACGCTTTGTTTCCGTCCTCTCAGCTAACTTTCTATACAGTTTTGAGTCGAACCCTTTTCGTTGGCGGTGTGACGTGAGTTGATGTCTGTGATTCTCTGCATCTCGGATTTTAACAGCTTAATAGGTCATCCGAGGCGCACTTGCGCTCTCTATTCGGCAAATTTGGCATTGTCCAGACTTGTATTGTCAACATAGATAAACGTCATGCTTTCATCAAGATGATCAGCCGCCAGGATGCTGTGCATGCCCGTGAAGGTATGGAATCCTATAAGGCTGGGGACATGCAACTTAGAGTAAGTACGCCTTGCCGTAATCAATGATCGTGTCTAACCAGTCTCCAGACTCGATGGGGTGTCGGATTCGGACCGCGTGACTGTAGCGACTACCAGACAGGGATTAGTATAATTCCGGTTGAACGACTCACGGAAGCAGATCGGAAATGGATGCTCACTGCTGAATATGGTGGGACCGGAGGCAGACCCATCGAGAGTGGCATGGTCGTTGAAGAGCCAGATATCGAGATCGGTGCTGGAGTCTCATCCAAAGGTTTGTTTATCTCACAGTCGAACTTAGGAATACCACGAATTGACTTATTCCTGTAGCTATCAGCAGGCGGATTGCAACTGACACCGGGGGCAAACGGGGCCCTATCTCATCCCGCACTCAGCAGGACCGCTTCCCCCGACCAGACCGGGACGGACCGTCGGCTAGAATGGGCCCTGGTGGTCATGGTGGCCAACCCGATCGAGATATCGCCAACGCAAACAATGTCGGCGTTCCTCCTGCTGTGCCCGGCTTTGGCTTTTCCTTTCCAGGTATGCCCATGTTCCCTCCAGGGTTCATGATGGGAGGAGCACAAGCAGGAACATCTAGCGGGTCATCACAGCCCCCACCCCCGGGCCAAGGGGGCAATTAAGTTCTTGATCAAGTTCGACCTGATAAGGCAAATATTGCTACAGTGAAGACAATGTCTTTACTTCTTTCATTCGGCCTTTGTTTTGATACGAGCTTTATTTCTTATATTTCGTTGTAAATCATATACGGAACATGGCGTTGGAACTCTCTTCCTCGAACCCTGCAGAGGCATATTTACATAAGTGGAAGTGATATTCACCCCGTTTGAGTGGGCAATCAGACATTGTGGACACTGTCTTGTCTTCCTGCGTGTGCTGGTACTTCTCAGGCGATGCCATTGGCTTGAATTCGAATCTCTCTTTGAGAAAATGGTGATGCGTCTCTTTCTTTTGTCCCTTATTTCTTTTCCCTTTTTCCTTGAACTTGGGCGGCTTTGTGTGGTTTATTCTCTCCCATATTCGAAAATCAGCAATGCAGTTGCATATCTGCTCGGTGCACTTTTTTCCCCTTCAAATAATGTGGTGTCTGGCGATATGTTGGGGCATTCAATTCCCGTTTGTATTTAACCCAAATAAATTTGTTGAAAATAGTTCTTCAGGGACTTGAAGTTTGCAGGCTCTTGATGCCGTACCAGTACTCAAAACATTACTATGTCTTGAACCATAGAAAGGGGTGAGCACTGAAGAAAAGTACTGTTTTACACATTACTGAGGTTGTTGTTATTTCTAACCTATAGGTTTCATAAATACTACTTCGGCCATTACTATTCAGATCAGATGTACGTTGTTATATTATATACATTATATACGGAACGTGTATATACATACATACATACGTGCATATTGTTTACATTGACACAACTTCAGATTTTGCAAGTTCATACATAGTGCCCGTAATACTTTGACTCCTTCCTTAGCAAGCCTTACGTATATACACTCCAGCTCAATTCGCAAGTGTTCTGATGTTGCTAGGTTACTTCAACGGCTCCCGATAACAGGTACAGACAGTCTATCGCGTGACCGTCCCCTCATTGCAACTCCCTATTGGGTGCGTGCAGCACTGGAAATCTTGAATGACTGTTCGAAGTCGGCGATGATATCGTCAATGTGCTCAGTCCCGACGGAAATACGGATAGCGTCTTCAGTAACACCAGATTCAAGCCGTTCTTGCTCGGTCAGTTGCTCATGCGTCGTAGACCAAGGATGGATTGCAAGCGTTTTGGAATCTCCGACACTGCCAAAATGATCAGCTAAAGCTATAGCGATTCATAATCACCGCCTGAGGGACGTACTTAGCTAGATTGCTAATCAACTTGAACCCGTCGACGACCTCGCTTCCAGCAGCAGCGCCTCCCTTGACACCGAAGGATAAGACACCGCCATAGCCACGCTTCAGATAGCGCTTAGCGGTACTATGGGTAGGATGATCCTCAAGTCCTGGATACGAAACCCAGCTCACGTTGTCATTTGTACGCAGCCAGTTCGCCAGAGCCAATGCATTACTTGCATGCCGTTCACCACGCAAGCTAAGAGTCTCCAGACCAAGGATTAGCTGCTGTGCGGCAAATGGATTTAATGCCGACCCGAGATCCCGAAGGATCTCAACGCGGACACGAATTGCGAATGCTAAATTCCCGAAGGTCTCCCAGAACTTCAGGCCGTGGTAACCTTCGGACGGCTCCACAAACTGCGGAAATCGGGCGCCATGTTTACCCCAATCGAACTTTCCGCTATCTATCACGACACCACCGATAGTGGTACCGTGGCCACCAATCCATTTAGTTGCACTGTGCACGACGATATCGGCACCATGTTCGATAGGACGGCAGTAGTAGCCGCCGGCCCCGAAAGTGTTGTCAACCTAGTCCATGGTCAACGTTTGCGCCAACTAATCACAAAATGCACCTGTACATACTACCAAGGGTACACCTTTCTCATGGGCAACCTTGGCGATAGCCTCAAAGTCAGGCACATTATACCGAGGGTTTCCAATCGTCTCGACATAAACGGCCTTGGTGCGGTCATCAATTGCCGCACTGATATCCTCTGGTTTGTCTCCTTGGACAAATTTGGTGGTGATCCCTAACCGGGGGAAGAAAACTTTGAACTGGTTGTATGTGCCTCCGTATAAGTTACTGGTTGAGACGATATTGTCGCCTGCATGCGCAAGTGCTGAGATTGCCATGAACTGAGCCGCTTGGCCAGAAGAGGCTGCTACCGCTGCAACACCACCTTCGAGAGCTGCAATACGCTTCTCGAAGACATCGACTGTCGGCTGTGAGGAGTCAGTATGGTTAGCTCTTTTACGGCTAGCGACCTTTCGTCACTTACATTCATGATACGACTATAGATATTGCCAAACTCTTTGAGGCCGAAAAGCCTGGCGCCATGTGCAGAATCATTAAATGTATAAGACTGCAGATGTTAGTATCACTTAACAGACCACTAGATACGACCGGAAGGAAAAGAAAGGAGTACTCAGTGGATAAACTAACCGTGGTCGCATAAATAGGCACAGCGCGAGCGTTGGTCGCAGGGTCAGGCTCCTGGCTTGACGTCCATTAGTACTCAGAATCCGTATGAGCTGGTTGGGGTCTGTGGGGAATGAAAATATACCCAGCATGAAGCTGAAGAGTTTCGAAATGAGGTTGTCGTGACTCAGCCATTACTGCCTTTGAATGAAACAGCTGCTGTCTCTTTGTAGGTGGAGTGTCTATCAAGGGTTAAGGTCGTGTAGAGTTGGAACACCAGCAATTACTACTCAAGACTTCCAGGAGAGCTCTCAAGGTGGAAAAGATAACTACGTTGCTTTTAAATGTGCGGGGATAAAGTAGTAATAATACTTACTGCGCAATTCCGATGGCGTGATCGGTCAAGGGAGGGGGAGGGAAGAAAAAGAAAAACGAAAGAAAGAAAGCAAAGAAGTATACTCTATCCCTCTATACACGATCATTTACCCCTTTTGCTGACCTCAATCTCTACTGGAACTATGGTGATTTGACGCCAGGTAAGGCTACATTTCTATCTATCTTTGACAACTTCCGCAGGTGTATACATAGGTATATACATAATTATAGTAGAGAGCAATCCATACACACGGTACGGGAGTACTAGTACCAGGTACGAGGCTCAGAACATTCGATCCCGAGAATATGTGGGGTTAGGGATTGGGGTTCGTGTTTGTGCGGAGGGAAAGAATAACATAGGTACTACCTGATTACCGAAGATTAGCATCATACAATTCCGCAGAAGGCGTCCAGATATATAAATCAAGTATGGGAATCTCGATATTTCCGCGATGCTGGATAACCAACTACGTACTCCGTAGTAACTACTAACCAACTAACTACTAGGTAGTAGGACAGGCATCCTTATCTACTAAGCTAAGTGAAGAGAATAATTCCCCACAACCTGGTTGAGTAAATCGGTACTCCAAGGTAATTTGCCATGGATTAGTACCAGTACTAAACACAACACGGTACTCTAGATAATTGAGGCCATTTGTACACAGTAGGGCTAGGTACTCGAAGTCACGTTTTCCAGCCCTATAAGTATACTAACATGAATCAAACATACACACCACAGTATATCTGAATCACAGGAGGAGAAACTGCTAACAAGTAGATCCTTGTCACATTCAATCAGAATTTGCCAACAAACCAATCTGCACGCCCTCTTAAATTAGCATCTCATGAGATCATTGTCACCCACTCCTCAGCCAATCCTTCGTGTTCACGAGTGCGCCGTGAGGCGCTTGTCGTCATAGGCAGCCATATCGATGATCACAAGCTTCCACCAAACGAAACCCCCAATAATTCAGTCATGGAGGAATGACCCGCTTGTAAATGTCGGTCAACTCTTTCTCCCTTGAATACCAGGGAACTTTCCACAATCTTCTGCTTTTCGTATAACAAGCGACCATATAATAAAAGGCAGTTACTCGAAGCGTTAACCTGACGCAGATATTCACCCCAAGGTCGGCCGAAACAACATATTTACCAACTCGTCCCGCGCCGCCAAGCTGAAAACTAGGGCAGGGACTATCTTGAGAGAGCATCGAGGGCACAGTTTCCTTGCCGAAAAACGGCAAGAGATCTTCGACAACAAAGTTTACCACATGCTCTTAAGTCACAGGCCTTGCTACATATTTCTTTCCAACTTTCTGTTCTGCTCAGATTCGTTTGATACCTAATCTTGACGGAACGGCAGTAGCAACATCGCCAGGCATTGTGTCGCTGTGCTCATCCCGATTGCGTTGTGGACTACAAGAAAGGCCAAAGAGGCTCACTATCTGCTGGCCGCGATGGCTCTGGATTTTCCCTGGATTTATCCTGTTCGGGTTGTTCAAGTGATTTTTGCGATCATCAACCTTGGTTTGACCGCGTACAGTTAGTCGCCTTCTTATCGCTGCTATATCAAGCTGAAAGGACGCTGACTGCCAAGGAAAGTTGTCAGCGTGTACAATAATGACACCGTCAATTTCATGCTTTTTAATAGCATTTGGACGGCTTTCTTCGCAACTCCGTACCTCGCCATTGCACCTGTGCACTTCCCCCAAATCGCACATCGCTTCGTTATACCAGCCGTAGAAGCGATCACCATGATTTTCTGGTTTGCAGGGTTTGTTGCCTTGGGTGTTCTGCTTCCTGCTCCTAGGTTCTGTCACTGGAGCGCCTGCAACTGTGCTCAGGCAGCCACGGTATTTGGAGCATTCGAGTGGTATGTCCTCCCTGGTTGAGAATGACTCGTGGTATTATAAAGCCGCTGTACTATTAGTTGCTAATATAAGCATACAGGGCTTTGTTTGCGGTCACGACAGTAGTGGCTGTTCTCGGTGCTTTGCGTACCAGGTCAAGCACTAGTACGAAGCCTGCCCCTCAAACTGCTGCTCACGTTGGCGTCTAAGCGGGATAATAGCGGTGGTGCCGTGAGCTGCCTCCAAGCGATTAGAACCAGTTTCCGGATGATAGTATGTTATGAAGCTCAGCATTGCGTGTTACATCATATATGTTACGATATCTGCGCTAACCGCGGTCGATTCGATTCAATCATAATGTTCATAATGAAAGGAGTGCCGAAGCATGAAGAAAGCCAAAGGGAACCCGATAACTTAACGAGAACAGGCTCCAGTGGTTTTGCGATAGTCTATCCTAATATATCTTGCAACTTGAAGGGTTTACCTCTGGCGTTTGAGTCTTTCGAGTTGTCATTGATTTTGAGTGGATACCCCTTTAGTTTACTCATGTATATAATTAGATGTGGAGCTCATTGGGACGAATTAATACCTATGTACGTGTCTATGCGTGGTCAATGTATGATCTTCATTCCAGGATCTGAAGTGGCTACAATTGTACTTGTGTCATCATGATCACATGTGCGAGTTTCATTTTACAGTGTGTCCAAGATTGGGCAAGATGATACTACACAGTAGGACAACTGGACTTATGTAGTCATAGGTTTATCGTGCAGGAGATCATGTTTGCATCGGATCCTATTGATTGATTTTGGGATGGTTCTGCAGGCACAAAGGATAGAGACCACTGCAGAGCATACATAGATACAAGATATCGGATTCAAGCATGAGTCCAGGAATCTCCTTGGTACCTAGATCTACTTAAGCTAGGTATCCGCTTCGGAGGAGGATGAAGCTATTAGTTAGGGTTCTTTTTCCTACTTCGGGAATTCCGTCCCCGACCGCAGCCAAGGGATGGAAAGAAACATTTAAAGAGCCAGGCCACCCCCGGAATTTTGGACTCCTCGAAGATAACAGGATACTAGTACTAGATACACTTACAGGGCTCTACTCCTTTACCGCTAAAGAATTAAGCATTTGTTAGCATGAGCATGAATTGAGAGAATAGGACAAGTTGGTACTGGTTTCTCCTTTTCCGCCACCGTCTCGTCACGAACTTGAGAGAAAAAAAAAAAAATTTTCCCCCCTCCGCCCACAATTCCCTATCAACGGCCCACTTCAAGATGGAGCGGGTCAGGAAGATATTCGCCGCCGCCAACGTCGGGTTTCGTGCGCCGTGCGGAGGATGGAAAAGTTTTCAGCGGTTGAGTGCCACAGTACATTTGACTAAAAAAAATTATCAAGCCTTCCAATGGATTGAAAATCTTTCTCCTTCCCTACGAGGGTTCTTCTTTTCCCCCCCTCCTCCTAGTTAGAAGTTATCATTATTATTATTACCATTATTATCAGTCATTACGGTTATCTATCTGCCTCTCTTTAGCCTATCTTACCAGCGTTACATCCGTTGCACTGAGAAGATCTCCATCTCTCCCCTCACTCTAATCATTCTTTTTACATAACATTTTCTGGGTGTGCACACATAATCGCTTGTTTCCCATCGCTGTTATTCGCCGTTCCTGTTATCTCCAACACCCCTAAAGGAGTAGTTCTATGCTCGACGCCGACGACAACCACTGTACCCCGTTCCTTTGGGTTGAGCACTAGTTTGCTCCACAAAATAGAAAGGCTCTGCCCGCTGGAGTGCAGTGGTGACTCAAAAAGAATTCCGGTGGAGCCAGCTCTTCCAACCTTTTCCTCACCTAGAACCTTTCGACTTCTGCATCTCACGACTTGCTCTTCGACCTAGCCTCACCCTCAGTTATCGGACTATCTAGGTCCAAACATGGCCTTCGAGGACGTGTTTAACGTCACGCCAAAATCCGAGAGAAAAGAAGCAATGGCCAACGATGAGGCCTTTCAGGTCAATGCTACCACCCCGTCGTCCGATTTGAAGGACATGGACTGCGAGAAGCATGGCGCCACTCGCGAGTCGAACCCAGTACCGGATCTAAAGCGCCAGCTCAAAAGCCGGCATCTGCAAATGATTGCCATTGGTACGGAAATCCTCTCA